TCACCCCCACCTTCCTCACGGCCGGCGGTTCCTCCCGCCGCTCCCCCGAAGTGTTTTTCTCCTAGGAAGTACATATGGAGGACGTACCACTTGACCTACGGCGGAGAGAAACTGGCAGACGACAGAAAGAAGCTGCGAGAGTGAGTGGTCCTGCCTCGTCTGGGGGCTGAGCAGCCTCGGAGTCCGCACAGCACCTGCACGGGCAGGGCCGACTTTGGACTTTGTGCCCTGGCTCAGACAGGTCCTGCACTTGAAATTGTCTGGCAGCTGGGACTAGCACTGAATATCCCACAGCGGGGGGACAGACTGAGAGGCCATCTGGGGGACAGGAAGGCCTCAGGTAGTTCTTCGGCCGCAACTGTCCTGTGCCAAGTGCCTTCATCCACTTCAGACCACACCAAGGCACTTGGACCTAACTGCCCCTCGGCTGTCCGTGCCAAACTCCTGCAGAACAGGTTACACTTGCCAAGGTTGTACCTCAGGTATCCCGCAGTGAGAGAACGCGTGAGTGTGAGGGGAACAGAATGCAGAGGCAGCCAGGGATGATGTTGTGCACATGAAGCACATTCGTTCACCTCCACGGAAACCGGGAGCGCTTGAGGAGCAGCTGTGCAGCAGAGGATAGGGCCAGGACACACCATGTGGTGGAGGGGATCCAGAGTGGAAGGGATCTCTGGGAGTCGTGTGGTCCAGCCCTCTGCACAAGCAGGGTCAGGGCTGCATCCAGTCGGCTTTTGAGTATCTGAAGACTGGACAACCTGTTCCAGTGCTGGGTCACCCTCACAAAGGGCTTGGCAGAGCTGCTGAGGTAGAAAGGTAGGTTTCCCTGCCCGTTTCCAGGGCAAGGAGGCAGGAGGTGCTTCTGAGCGCTCTAGCTGTTGCGTACAGCAGTGCTGGGTACACCAGCCTGCGTGCAGACCAGGAAGAAAAGCTTGTCTAAGTATTAAAAATCTAGCAAGACAGCCCTAAGCAAAGTTGTCCTTGACAGAGCGAGCCATGGGTGACAGATGCTGCATTTAAGAGGGTATTGCAGTTGAAAAGGTGTTAACTTGTCCTGCATTAGAGCACAGCATGTGATCATAGGTGTCCATCTCCCCCTGGGAAAGAAAGAGAAGGCTATAGGATTTCAAAAGTTGTGGTTCCTGGGAAACTGGCATGTAACAGCACACTCTCCGTTCAGGTACGGCATCAGAAACCGGGATGAGGTCAGCTTCATAAAGAAGCTTCGAAAGTAACCTGTCAGGTAAGTCCTGAATATCCATTAGGAGCTACCAGTCCTTCATCTTCCTCTTCCCTCGGCCTTCGTGTTCAGGCTCGCAGCAGCTGGTGTTGCTGCTCTCCGCTGCCTAACAGCGCATTGCTGAAGGCCCATGTCTACATTAGGCTTGTGCCCTGGCTGTGGTCCATTTCCATATCCTGGTTGTGGTGTTTGTTTGCGCTTCTCTCAGGGCAGGGAAATGGTAATTCAGCTACTGCAGTTAACATACATCAGGAGTAGCAGCTGCAGCAACATCTTAGTGCTGGCAATGGTGTATCTCTAACCCTACTTTATGTTCAGACTCCAAATCTGCTCCCACGAGGTCTTGCGACTCGTTAGATGCAGTTTGCTGTTGTGACTGCTTCTAGGACCTTGCTTTCTTTTAGCCTTTTTGAGTGTCTGTAAATCACTGTCAGGAATGTGGCTGGGCATGAACTAAGCCCTAGGAGGATGGAGGTGTCCCTGTGCTGCAGGTGATTGCTGTCACCCAGGTCCTTTGGGTCCTTCCACGTGCCTCAGACTCTCATACTCAAGTGACTGCTCTCCTCTCCAGCTCCTGGCACCCTGGTACCATTCAGAGCACCTGCAGCTGGCAGAGATGTCCTGTGGGTGCGCATAAGTAAATGCGACAAGAAAACACAGCAGCAGTTTTGCTGTTCCACAGTGGGTGCATTTTGAGCCATTTTTCTCCATTGCTGCAAGCTATAAGGAGTTAGGAAAAGGAACCTTAGCATACATATCCTGTTGACTCCCAGTTTCTCCATTTTCTGGTTTATAGAAACTTGATTCATTGTCTAGTGGTGTGTACTGCCTTCAAAAACAACTTTTGGTGATGGTATTTCTGTGCAACTGATGCATTTAAGAACAATTCCAACCCAGGAAGCACTAATAGCATATAATAGTAAATATACATATAAATGTGTATTTACCTGTAACCTATGGAGACATAATTCTGGCATTATACTGCTCTTTTTAGAAACTTGTGCCCACAAACACAAGATGTGGTCCAGACTCTCAAGCTTAGTCAATTTAAAATTATGTCTGCTTCCCCTCCAACATCTAAAAAACACAGGCTCTGAAGAGCAGTGGTAACAGCAGCTTTTCCAAATGCTTGGTTTTTTGTTTTGCAGCTCTCCAGCTACTTGGGTTAGAAGCCGTTGCTTTGTGACCACAGTAACTTTTTTTTTTTTTTTTTGCTCCTCTTCTTTCACTGCTGCCACATTTGCAACATCCAGCGTAACAAAACGTGTGCTGTGACAGAAGCCATCGGCCCCGGTGTGCCTAGGACTAGCAAGTCACCTACGGCACCGGCTGATTCCCCTCTGGCCTGTCTCAGTCTGGTAGCGTGGTGATAAGAGAGCCCAGCGTACAATAACTATTGTCACTGCCACATATTTTCTTTCTTTAACAGAGAGAGCAGAGAATCCAGCCTTACCAAGACCCCACTGTGGATTCAGCACTTTCCTGGAGGAAAAGGCTGTAACATTTCAAAGAGAAACAAACGCTAGTTGAAGGGACATTTTCACATGTTTTTTACGGTTGCTATTTGAAATGTCTGCCTCTGAGCTGTATGTGGAGTGTGCTTTCAGTGATTAAAGAGACGCTGTAGTTTTCCGAGGCTTTTAAGGCCCTTATTTCCACCTGCAAATGTGCATCTGCCTGTTTTGGGTGCTAGAAAAGGATTGAGACTACTGGTACATGAAACAGCATAGGTGAGATAAAGTAACAAACATAGCCAGAGACTATGCAGAACAATTAACAGTAGCTAAAACGCTACCTTACCGTTTAATCACCACCTTAGCAGTAGTAAACAACTCTGGTTAAAAATGTAGTATTGAAACTAGTGTAATAAAAATAATGGCAGCAGAAAAGGTTCAATACAATTGAACAAGGCACAAACGTTCCGTTTTCAGAGTCTTCTGAGATAAGGCAAAACATGCCTGCCAAGTGCTAAGGAGACAGTTTAAATTAACCACGGGCAGGGTTAGAAGTGTCATTGGATTAGAGGCTTTGTCCACATGGAACTGGCACAGCAAACGCAAAGACAGTCCATCTCCAGTGCCTGCTCGAGAAGCCAGTCTTTGCCTTTCAGTGGAGCTGTGCGTCCAGGTCGTATTTCTCGCAGAATTTGTCTGTGAATGGTATACAAGTAAGGAACTCGCACCACTCGCACTTGATGGGGTAGAAATAGAACAGAATCACAAGTCCTGAGAAGAGTGCAATGAAGATGAGCTGGAAAACTATAATTTGGCATCGCTTCCTATATAAATCAAACTTCCCAAAGCTAATGTAGGGCAGGAAGGCGAAGGAGAGGAAGAAACCACTGATAAATCCTGAAATATGAGCAAAATTATCAATCCAAGGCAGGAGGCCAAAGGCAAAAAGAAAGAGCACCACAGCCAGCAGCTTGAAGAAAGCCCTCCATGGGCGTGCCAGGATTTGCCAACTCTGGAAGAGCTCCACAAAGAGACAGGCCAGAATCCCAAACTGGGATCCTGCAGGGCCAACCTGCAGAAGAAGAGCATTACAGGTAACATCAGGCACATGCTATCTGCCTGGCTTCTGCAGCCAGCTCCAGGCATTGCAGTTAGTTGTTATTCAACTCCTTACTCAGTGTTTCTTGGGAAAGAGATGCCACAGCCTGCAACTTTATTCTTCTAATGGCATTCGAAGAGTAAACGGGCTCAGTTTGATTTGGCACCAAGGTAGGTATGAGGCCAGCAATCAACCAGGGCAGGCTTTATATTTAAGGAGGGCAGCTCTGGCTTAAGTCACCAGAGGGGAGAAGCCCTTGAAGGCAGTCTCCGGGCTCACCCCACCCACCATGCACTTTTCCTTACTGAAGGACCTGGAAGACAGTCCTCCTGGTCCTGCCACACAGTCTTCTAAAGTGAAGCTGAATAGTCACATCCCATTTCTCCAGCTGTGGCATGTGGACAGGGACAGTCTGTGGGAAAGGTGAGCTCTGCTCTTTGCCCCTCTCCTGCCTGCCACTCACATGGGGGGGTCTCTGGCACCAGCTACAGCCCTCAGTTCCCAGCCTGCCAGGCACCCCTCTCCGCCTGTGGTTGGACAGCCCCCCAGTCATTACGAGAGGCAGCCTTCTACTGCAGCCAGACCGGGCCAGTCGCTCGGAAAGGCCGGGGTGCGCTGGGGGATGTTACTGCTCAGCAGCTAGATGATGGTGTGGTGCCGTCTTCTAGCTACAAATTTGCACCAGGCCCGTGCTGCTGCAGAGATGAGCCCAGCTCTGGTGTTTCTGCCTCTGCCACCGAGGCACAGGCACATAGAGAAGGCTTGTCTTCAGAGCAAGTTAGCAAGACCCTAGTCTGCAGGAGACCCACCTCTGCTCTGTAGGGTAGAAATATTGCACTGGCAAGGTTCCCAGTGATGCCACTGAGCAGGTAGATGATAGAGATGCGATGCCATCCTGCCAGCTTCTCTAGGTCCCGCAGGATCGTCATTTGGAAACAGACTGAAACCAGACAGTGCAGGATCCTGCCAAGGTCAGAGTACAGGAGCTGAAGCAGCAGCCACTGAAGTCACCTCTGTGCTTCTGTTCTTTTGCTGAGAGCTCCTGGTCTGGCTTCACGCTTCTAATATCCCTCCCAGCAAACCTCAGCAGGGACAACAGCTGAGCCCTGCCATGTCCCCCAGGGAAGGAACTGCCAGAACGAGCCTCATATCAACCCCAGGGCTCTCCCACCCAGACAGTGGGAGTTTTACACCTATGCTTACCCAGCATGGAGGAAAAGCGAGAGCCAGAGGCGATAGAACTGGTCAGGGACTTCTGGATTTAGGAAAGGGAGGAGTCCACAGACGTCATCCATGCAGTGCACCTAGGGCAGAAGTGGGGTCATGAGGTGCAGCAGCCAGCATGGCCCTTTACCAAGGCCAGGGCAGAAACTGCAGTCAGCTCTGGAAAGAGGGGCTTTCCTCCTTCTTCTCCACTGTTACCTAGTCCCAACCCAAGTTACAGGTGACCCCACCCATTCCCTGTGGCAGCTTTATGCCCTAATTCTTCACCCCATGCACATCCACGTTTGCTCGCCAGTGGAGCAGGAAGGTTGCATTCTCCCGCTGCTTCCACAGCGGTCCGGCGTTGGGCTTTCGCAGCTGCCAGCCCAAGTCCTAAACTGGTCTCCAAAGAGGGACAGATGCAGCCAGCTCTGCCACTATAGTCTGGATCAGCAACTTCCCCCAGGCTCAGGGTGGCACAGGACAACAGGACACAGGATTCCCACCTACACTGCAGCACAGTTGTCCCCAGATCTTGCCAAGCTGCGAAGAGGAAGAGGAGAGAGAAAGGCAGCCATACAAACCCTCAACCCCACGCTTACCTGAGAACAGAGTGTCGCCTCCTCATGGAAATAGCCCCGCATAAATTCACAGTACTCCCGAGAGGTTATTTCACACCTGGAAGAGGCAGGAGTAATCAAAACAAGGCAGGCACAAACGGGCCATCCTGTGCCCTCCCAGGCCACCCACTCCCCTTTGTCTCATCCCAAGTCTGCCTATGAGAACTGAAGCCTTCAGCTGCCCCTGACATGCTGTAGCATCTCTGCAAGAGCTGCACTAACACGTTCCCATTTGAGCCCAGTGCCACCCTCCATACACCCCCTCTTGCTTCCCTGCCACAGGCAAGCCTGAGTCACCTCCACAGACTAACGCCCTGCATACAGGGGCTCCGAAACAGCTGAGCTAGTTACAGCTGAGAAAGAACCACCAGAGCTTGGGGAAGCTGGGGCTGGGGGAGTGTTGTGCCTCTGTAGCCGACACAGCAGAAAGTGGGGGGTCAAAGAGAGTCCTGGTCGTGATGTTCAGGGACAGAGAAACTGCTTGAGGCAGCACTGATTCCTCTTCCTAACAGGGAAAGCCAGGCCCAAGCACTGGGTAATTACTCAAGCTGAGGAGCAACATGAGGAAGAGCAGCATCTTCCTCCCTGGCAAACTCAGAGCAGGTCATTTCCCTGACACGTCTGTGAGTGCTCAGGGACTCCAGGTTGGGCCAATGTAGCCTGCCTGGTCTTTCCCCAGGAAAATGCAGAACTCCCTAGCAGAAGTATTTAATCCCTTGGGATCAGAGTCCCTCCAAACTGCAGGACCAGTTGAGCGAGACAGATAGATACCCTGTCCCATCAAAGACTCAGGGTGGCTGTCATCTCCTGCTCATCCCAGAGTCCTGCTTCATCTGGGAGACCCGTCATGGCTCCCTGTCCACCTGCCCATCCCAGTAGGGCTCTGGGCTGTGTGTGAGAAGGACAAGGAGGACAAAAGGCTGCATCTACACCCTCAAAAGGGCGCCCTGCATCTCACTACAACACCCAGCCCCTCTTCATGCAGGTAAAACTCTTTACCTTCCTTTGGTCCCAATGCAGCAGGGCCGGCCTGTAATCACGCAGTCCATGTGAAGGTGGTTCGTGTAATTCCCAGCACTGTTTTTTGTGCAGATCTGGAAAATGACAACAGGCTGCAGTCAGACAGCCACGGCTTTGCTTGCTGCCTGGGTAAGGTCAAAACAGCCCCTTGGGAAGAAGCCAGTCCCACAGACATGGGCCTCCCAAGGCCTCCCTCTGACAGCAGGATGGTGCCTGACACCCCATCTGCCTGAGCCTCAGTCAACACCACCTCTCCCCTGAGGGATAAAAACAGCCCCAAGACCGAGTCGGTCGGTCACCATCACTGTTATCCCAGCAGGGTCCAGGGCTTTAGTTGGCACAGGGGAACTCTCATTGTTTGAGGGCTTTGTGCCTTGGCTAGACAAAGCCAGGGCTGCCCTGATCTGGTGTTTGTGACAACAAGCAGGAGGCTGCACCAGAGACACCCCCCCCTTCCACCAACACAGCTGTGGCTCTGCACAGCGGGATGCAAATGCCATATTCCAGCTGTACAGGCTCTGTGCCACCAGCAATGCTCACCGGCCATTTGGTGATGTCATCTGGCCACTCATGCGGCTCCATCGAGGCTGGCTGCTCACACACCCTGCGGCAACAGAAAAGCAGAGATCAACCCGAGAAATAGCCTTCCCCAGCACCAGGCGGGATCCCCCAGGGAGCCACCACGCTGCCCCTGTCCCCAGGCTGCAGTCCCACAGCTCCCCTCTGTCCCTCAGAAGGGGCTGGTGACATGCTACATCAGATCAGCCAAGGCTGTGCTGATCAAAGCCGCAGCCTCCCTCCAGTGAGCAGAGATCACAGCTTCAGCACAAAGGCAGCCGTCCGAGAGCACACAGCTGCCCAGCAGTTCGCTGGCTCTCTTCCGGGTAGACACAACCCCAAAGGTGGGCATTCAGCTGGGCTCAGCTCTACATCAGCCCACAGCGACCGAGGGCAAAGGTGTGCCGTGGCACCCAGCAGCTGGCAGGGCTCTGGGGCAGAAGCGTGCTGCAACGTGACTACTGTACCCCAAGAAGGGAGCCTGTGTGGGGGGAGCGGGTGAGGAGGGGGAGAGGGATGAGGAAGTCACCCACAGCTCACAAGAAGCCACAGTGCAGGTGGGCAGCCAACAACAATGGAGACTAGGGGCGGGCGGAAATACGATCACGCTATGCCTCAGCCTCCCCTGCAGTCGTTGGGGCAGGTAGGGACATCACTGTCCCCATGTCCCTTGGTCTGCAGAGCAGCTGCTGTCCCATCCCGCAACCGACTGGCCTGGGACTCCATGCCCCTCTGACTCTACTGTCACAGCAGCCCTGTCCCCCCAGGATGGCAGCTGGGCTAGGCAGGACCTACCTGGGGTCCTGATGACAAACGGACCCAAATTGCCTCTTGCTTCCTGCCAGCATTGGTGTGCTGGGGTGATGGGGCCACTTCACCCACACGGCCAGCGTGGACTGCAGGAGAGAGGAGAGATGTCACCGTGAAGCCCAGGGTGCGAGAAGCACCAACAGAAGTGGCCCTGAGCCTGCAGGGACAGCACAAAAGGGGCTACCACACTCACCGAGCATTCCTCCTCCGAGGTCTGCACGCAGCCTGACTTGTCGTTCCGCACGCAGCAAGCCGAGTGCTTCTCCTTCTCCCGCTTGGCGCTGATGAAGCTGTGCACTTGCTGGTCCTGCCTCATGCACGGTGAGAACTTGGCCCCTAGGTGGATCAGGGCCTCCTGGCAGAGATGGAAACACTCAGCTCAGCTGAGGGGCAGGCAATGACTGCCCGGGGCAGAGCAGGCTGGGGGAACTGTGAGGGATAACCCCTGTCAGGATTCAAGGGACCAGGGACAAGTCCTGCATGATGAAGCCCAGCACACATCACGCATACTCTCAATATTTGCTTTCAAGAAGGCAAGCCCAGAACAAAAGTTCAGGGATTTCCTTGGCCATGGCCCCAGAAACTCCAGCACTATGTCCAGGAAAGGAAGCTTTAGGACAAAACCAGTCTTTCCTGGGGGAATGGCATCAGGAAAGCTATCGCACACCATAAAACTCCTGCATTTTCTCTAGCCCCATGCTTGGCTTTGTAGGAGCAGAGTGCAAAGCAGGAGCACCAAGGTCCATCCCCACCTCCAGGTAGCCCATTCTGCAGGGTGGTTGGGGCCAGGAGCACTGCTGTGCCCTGCCAGGGAAGGCAGGGCCCCATGTGAAATCTAACCGATGGCAGCTGCTAGCACCAAGCAGCAGAGGGCTCCAGTCCCTGGGGTGGCATGGCTGCATGTCACCCATCAGTCCCCCTGCTGAACATATTTGACGTTTTCATAAACCCCTCTGTTCCGCAAGACCTGCAAGGAGAGAAAGCGAGAGCCTCGTGAGCTCCTGCCCACAGGGTCAGCAGTGCAAGCGGCACGGGCTGGTGAAAACAGCACCCAGGATGAACAGAAATCCTCACAGCCAGTGACTGGGCACACAGTTCTCTCAAACTGGTCTTTTGCAGGATCACAGCATATTTGACGTTTTCATAAACCCCTCTGTTCCGCAAGACCTGCAAGGAGAGAAAGCGAGAGCCTCGTGAGCTCCTGCCCACAGGGTCAGCAGTGCAAGCGGCACGGGCTGGTGAAAACAGCACCCAGGATGAACAGAAATCCTCACAGCCAGTGACTGGGCACACAGTTCTCTCAAACTGGTCTTTTGCAGGATCACAGGTAAACCCCCACCAAAGTGTGGGCACCTTCATCTTAAGATTTCATTTTAAAAGTCTATCTCTGGCTACTTCACCTTCCAACAAATACCAGGGCCTGGAGACCTGGGAGCGGCTTGAGAGCCTGCAGAAGGTGTCATACAGCTCAAGCATAAGCAGCACCTGCCGGCAGGGCAGGCCTCGGTGCTGGTGACAGTGCTCTAAAAGCTGTCAGACACATAGGTGAGAAGCTCCCCAGGGCATCCCCTGCATGGAGCTGGGACATGGCCATAGAGATATCTACCTCAGAGACCTTTGACAACATGTGGGAAGGCTACAAACAGCTTCAAGATCAGCTCTCAAAGTCAGACAGGTCAGTTTTGCTCCTGGCAGAAGCAAAAGCCCACAACTGTTGCAAAAATTTAACTTGGGTTTGAAAGATTTCCCTGCCATGAGCATCCTTCTGGTCGCCACCAGGAGGGGAACAAGCTCTTTGAAAGGGCTCCCAGCACAGACGCAACCAGAGCCTGCGAAGAGCCCACCATCCTTTGTGCCAGATCTAAGTTGATGTCGAGAACAATGTAGCTGCAGGAGAGAGAGGAGGTGGCACAGGGGCTCACAGAGATGCTGCAGGCAGCCCCCCAATGCTGGACACCCAGCGTCCAGCCATCAAGGCCCTCAGGCAAGTAGCCAACACGCTGAAGACTATGACACAAAAGCCAGCAACTGAACACTGAGACACAATCACACTCCAGGCAAGTCAGGGGGACTTACTTACTGAATCAACAGTTTCATGTTGTGAGAACCCCACAGGGGCAATGCCATAGATGCACACAGCCAGGATGGTGATGAGTGAATGCACAAAGGTGACCCAGTAAGTGAAGAAAGGCCTGGATGGAGGGAAGAGGAGAAGATCAGAGGCAGAAACCCAGACATATTACCTCTACCCACAGAACACAGGAAAAAAGCTGCTGTTTTTCTCCCAGGAACCTTGGCAGAATCTGGGGTACAGGGCCAGGATCACCAAGGGATGCACAAGACTGGAGGCAATAACCTGGAGGTCTTGCTGGCAAAGAGCCCCTGTTTACTCTGACTCCCCCATTGCACTGGGCAAGTCACCCTTTTCCCAAGAAAACATCCATGAGAACACAAAAGCCTGATGCCAAAGTGTGCTGTGTGTCTGAAAGAATGACTTTAGGGGAACGATCAGAGGCAGGGATACCTGAGCCTTCCGGGGGGGGGGCCTGCAGTCCCTCCAGGTAGCAGAGATAACAGACACCCAAAGCACCATGAGGAGCAGGGTGAGCTCCCAGCACACAGCGATGCTAACCTGCTGCTGTCTGCTGCAGTTTGCACCACACTTCAGGGACACAGACTTACAGGTCTTAGCAGCAGGTTTCACCCAACCAGCCCGAGGCAGTGACCCAAGTCAGCAGGGGGCAACCAATCACTCACTCGCTGGTTTTGTTGGGACCCCTTCTATGACTGCACCTCTCACCTGTGATCATCCATGTCCTCAATCTGCCGCTTGACATAGCTGTCGATGCGCTTGCGGTATGTACGGTTTGTCAGCTTCCCCACCATACCCAGGCCGTACGGCCTCTTCTCCTTGGCGAAGAGTTTCCTGACAGGTACGGCGATGCGCTGGCCACGCTTCTGTGGGCTCACACTCACCACCTCCTGCCGCAAGCGGACCTTGGGCTGCGCCAGGGCCCCGTCCTTTTGCTTCCTCCAGCCTCGCTCCAGTGGGCTGAAATAAAAAAGCGGGACAGCAATGGTTTCCTCCTCCATGGCACAGAAATGGGGACCAGCCCTTCCCTGGTCTTTGGTGGCAGCAGATCCCCCGTCTGTCCCACCAGCAGCTGACAGCAGTCAAGGTGCCCTCAAGTGGAAGCTGTATTTCAAAGGGTTATGCAAGGCCGGTTGATGAGAGCACAGGACTACACGCAGAAGGTGCCACAAGGCAGCTGCGCCAAGCTAAGCCCCACTGACAAGAGGCTCTCAAGGTTTTAAAGAAGTGTTTCAGCAACAGACTAAAATGGGGAGGCTGCAGCCGGGCACATCTGCAGCCTCACGCACGCCTATTTCCTCCTCTACTTCATTCCTCTTACTCTGCTCTCTGCTACAAAATGGAAGTGTCGTTTAGCCCAGCAGTGGAAATCCCCACCCTTGAAGCACTTTACTGTGATCGGACTGGCAAATCAAACCCCCGTGCCCACCAGCTGAAAAGAAGAGCAGGAATCCAAGCAGCTTCCCAGGCCAAGACAGCGACGCTGTCACATGCTGCAAGCTGAGCCAGTTACCTCTCACAATCCATCTTCCATTCCTCCCTTTATTTGCACTGATGCATGCATTTTTTGGGGAGAATAACAAAACCAGACTTCAACAACACAATAAAAATCCCAAGCATCACTGTCTAAAGGATGGTTTTTTCACCAAAACAGAGTATGCGACGAAGGGTGCACAAGCCACTGGTGAGTAACTCCTGCTTTGTAAGTCTCCGTCATATTCAGATGGTTTTGTACTACTTTGCTCTTGAACGGCAGTCTGGAGGTCATTTCTGCAGCATTCAGACCCTTACCAGAAAAAACAACCACTACCTACCATTTCACCCTTGCTCACTGCCTAGCGCTGTAGTAGGCATGTTCCTGACGTGCACGCTACTCTAGGTTACCTCCCCTGGCTTCCCAAATGTCCCCCTCTGCACAAAGACAGTGGTTGTCAGAAGCGGTCAAAGAAATCAACTGACAAACTTTCTTCTGAAACATCACCAGAGCATCTTGGAGAGATCATGACAGCTCTGTAGTATGGACAAACAACAGGATGAGGGAGAACCTGAACCTCATTAGCCAGAAACACTGCTATTTTCAGTATTGGACCTTGCAGAAGAAGCATTTTTAAAGCTGAAAGTCCCAATTTCCCCTTGGGAAGTCCTTCTCCAACAGCAAGTGCAGATTCCACTGCAGCCTGCTCTCGCCCCAAGAGTTCATGTGGTTTCTGTGTTACGGACACGCTGTTTCCCACTATTTCTGGTGCTGAGCTATCAGCCTATGCCAAAATAAACACCTGGCCACCTAAAAGGACTCCCAACTGATTCTGATAACAGCTCTCTAAAGCGTGAAAGAAATGTATTTTCCTCAATAAATAAAACCATTTAAGGAGATCTAAATGGAGCCAAGACGACTGAGACCGTCCCAGAGGAGTGACAACAAACTCCCACCACTTATGTTAAGACTGAGTCAAGTTCTTGGAAACACTTGAAGGGAAAGCAGCAACACAGCAAGATGGGCCATGAGCAGCAGAACCACAACAAGGACCTCCCTGTCTGCTCCATGTTCACACCCAGCAGAGCTCTCTGCTGGGGTGAGCTGCCAGCTAAGCTAGAGCTGACTCGGAAACGACACAGAGCAATTACTCAGTACCAGTTACTCAGGTGGAAAAAATCTAGGCATACAGTACAGTACCACCCACATATTTGTGGGGCTCTCAGCATCAGTACCACACCTTTCCCTCGTTTCGAGTGAGGAATGTAGCCCAGCTCGACACTCAGCAATGCTTCACACTGCTCCTTGGAGCAAGACAACAGTTCCTGGTGACTGTGGCAATGGCAACAGCCTTCTCATCTTTGCTACGTTCTCCATAGCTGAAGGCTGGGCCCCCAGCATCCTCACAGCTGATTTAAACTGTCTTCTGTTTCCTCAAGGCATGATACAGTCTCCGAAACACACCACGTGAGGCTGGAAGTTGCTGGGGAGACTGCACAGGTGGCCTCAGAGTCACCTTTCACATGCATGGGTATCTGGGGCAGGAGATCTTACACTGGGCTTAAAGAAAACCCATCACTGCAATGCTCTTTGAGCTCTGCACCAAGCACCCACAGCACTTCCTCCATGCAGAAGGTCCCACTCTGAATGGGTTGGACCACCCCATGTTAGGCTTTGGCAGCTTCCAGGAAGATACTCACAGTAGCAAGTGGCTTCTTTCAAGCTCATTTTTGTCCAAGGCACCTCCTGTGAGGTCTGTCTGATCCAGAGGTTTCACCTCAGCATCTTTGATTGCAGCTTCTGATGGCGACTCAAACACTTCATCCGGGTAAGTAGAGAGCTCCTCATGAAGGACTCCTTCCTGGGCAGAGAAACAGAAGTCCCATCAGAAGAAGCCAACATCCTATTTCAGACACCAGCCCTAGCAGAAGGCAGTGCTGCTCTCTGCCACACATAGTCCTGCCAGACCTAGAGTCTTGCACTGCCTCTGGGGCCAGTACCACTCCAGAGCCCTGCCCCTCACCCGAGCGAAGAAAGAAGTGTCAAGCTCATCTGGAAAATCCACCGTGTCCTCCTCCAGGAAACTTGCTGGGGTGAAGCTGCGCCTCTGAGCTCTCCTCAGGGTGCTGTCCTTCACAGAGCGCCCCTGTAGCCAGAGAGAGTGGCATCGAGTCACCACCAGGAACCTGAACCCCAGGTACATGCAGGGCCACCCCAGCCAGCGCACAGGGAGCCCAAGCTGGTTCACGCTTGCGTGTGGAGAACGGCAGACCTGCTGATGTGTGACACCTTTCCGGTGAGAGTCACAGGTGTTACCCCACTTCTCAATCCACGGTGCCCATCTCCCATGCGGATGAGGCTTGCAACATGCTCCTCTACCACGCAGTGTACAAGGTCTCTGACCAAAGTGCAGTGATGACTGGTACTGGACGCAGCAAAGAGGTCACTGGGCCCAGGAAAGCAGACATGCGTCAGGATGAAGGGACTTGCATAGTAAGAGCCTCAGGTACTTCTGCTCTTCCATGACAGCTGACCAGGTGCAGACGGACTGCCCAGAGGTCTAAGCAGCCCAAATCGGACCTGCTGGAATGCTCTGAGGCTGCTGGCCATGGGAATCAAAGCCCCCAGGCCAATAAAGAGAAAGCAAGACCTGTACCAAAACCTAGACATCATCCCCACTTCTTGCAAGTCCTGCCTCCTAGACACATGGCTGAAATAGAACAGGAGATGGCTTGGCTTCTTCCCCTCCATCGCTGCTCTCCCCCTCCTCCCTGCTCAACAGCTCCTTCCCTCTCGCCCTTCTCCCAGGGCAGAGACCCATCCTGCTACCAGACTGGTCCCTGCCCTCCCACAGACAGTACCTTCACCAAAGCTGCAGCTGCTCGGAAACTCATTTTGGCAACAGACTCCCGTTTCCGCCGTCGTGGGAGGCGATTGAACCCCGAGCGCGAGCTGGTGAAGGAGCAGAGCGACGTGGCACCTGGTGTGATTGGCGTGTGTGGGATGCTGCAGCCATCATTGTCATCAGCCATGCGGAAAGCTCGGCCGCGGGCCAAGGGGTCTATGATCTGCCAAGAGAAGCAGCCCATCAGTCCATTCGCCCACAAATCCTTCCCTACTAAGCCCTCCTCCCTCCAAGCAAACATCTTGAGACCTTGACAGTGGCCTGGCCCCTGGGATTGTCCTAGAACCAGACAGGACAAGCAATTCTACAATAGGGAGACACGGAATAACTTGCTGCAAGCTAAACTCTACTTGTAAGCCTCAAATCTAAGTCCTCAAACTTCTCCCGCTGCCCCCTTTTCTATTTTTCTTTTTTTTTTATTTTGTTGGTATTGAGTGTTTTCACCCAGAATGTTGCTGATGTTCAAAGCAGACTCCAAATCTCCTTCAGCCCTTCCTCAGCTCTTGATTTCATTCATCTCCTTTGTCAGTGAGCTCTACAGTCAGAGAACATGCTATCTGAACAGGGGTTTGAGAAATCCCTGAAAACAGCCATGCTTTCTCCAGCTAGTTTCCTTTCTGATACTGGGCAGCCCAGGACTTAAACAGTATGCTGTTGAAGCTTAACTGTATATTTACGTCTGCCTCCATTAATTAAGTTATAACAGCTGGAAAAAGCAGGCAAGCTTCCGGGAGCTGCAAGCCATTCTTCAGGACTCTTCAGGCCAAAGTTCTCATTTCGTCCAAACATACAAATCAACCTCATGAAAATACTGCCTTCAGCTACAAACCTTGCCTCTGTCCTTACATCATCACAGCTGTGGTTTCCATAAGACTTCTATGCTTTATCCTAATGTTTTACGAGCTTTTTAAAATCCACAGTTGCACACTCAGCAGGAAGCTTTATGGGCTTACACCTACTGATACCATGTTCTGATTTAATGTAGCCCACAGAGCCCAACAATATTTCTGAGTCTCCCGTGACCAAAGACTAACTGCAAGACACTAACAGCTAGTGAGAAAACAGGAAAGAGCACAACAAGGTGAAACTTCATTGAGAGATGCACGATGTTCTCCTCTGCTTCAGTGATGCAGCCAGGCTTCAGGTCACGGACTAACCTGCTTTGGAAGGAATTTGTTCCCCCACTTGCCCAGGTTGCAGGGGCGCTCACTGACGCACAGTAATCAACCACATCGACTACTATTGCTGAATGGAGCGAAGGGAAGAGCTGGGATATTGTGGGTTAGTTCTAAAGTGCTGGTAACTGGATGTTGCTTGACTGGGTCTTGTCCCCTGGGGTCACACTTGAAGGTAGCAAGGCGGGGGCCCTTTGCAGGCACTCAAAACCATTTCTGAGGACCCATGAGCACAGCTGTAGTACTGCTGATGCAAGAGACACTTTTCAAAGTCCTAAAACATAATCAGTTTTCTAGAAGGACAGTAGCTGTGCTACTGCCTGCATTCTGCTTGGGATAAGGATCCACTAGGCAATTGTCCTGAGTGATACCAGGGCTGTTACTGTATATTTGGGTCCAGGATACTGGCCACTCTGTATACAACAGGGTTTTCTCCTTGCAAAATGGCAGCAAAGAGCCAAAGCTGAGAGCTCTTGGACACGCTGCACACATCTAATCACCACCATAGTCACAACATGAGAAACACAGCTCTGAGCCTACCACTGAAACAGCTGATGGATCTCAGCCAGCGAGGCCGGAGAGAGGCTGCTGAAGGAGCGACTCTGCCAAACTGTATCTGAGACTTCAGAAGCATCTGAGCATGGAGCCCAGACATGTTCAGGCAGAACTAAGCCCGCACATAGGTCACAGCTGCCAAAGTGGTAAAGACACTGTGCAGGAAGCTCACGATGGCCTTGACTCTGTCCCAGGTTACTCACCTTTTGCATGCCCAGCTGGCATGGTCCGACATAGAGCGGAGGAGGAGTCTCTGTGCTTGTCAGAGAAATATTGTCCTGACTGGGCAAGTCCATTTCCCGGATGACCTGAGGTTTCAGCTTCCCATACCGCAAGCTGCAGTGGCGGAGGCTCTTTCTCTGCCATTTCTGAGTAGCGTCACTGTCTTTGCTCACGCCAAACCAGTCCGCTGTGCCTCTGAAAGATGCCAGCATACAAGTGCACAGAAGCATTATGTTTTCTTGGATTATGCACATGAAAAGACAAAAACCCTGGTGGTCACTTCCAGCCCACCCCAATTCAAAGGCAGGCAGAACTCTTCCCCACGAGCATTTCGTAGCCTGTCCTCAGCTGGGTTTAGCAACCTGACAGATGCTAGCCAGATACGTTCAACCCTCAACAGCATTCTGTCTCTTAAGACAGAAGAAAAATGACAGGAGAGATTCATTGTGTGTAAAAGACAGTTGGTTCTGAGTTTTTCTAAAAAGAAAGAAGAAGAGATGGAACAGAAATTCAGAAGAGAACTTGGTGAAAGGGTTTTTTTTATTTAAAAACCATGTATTGAGAACACTTACCATCTGCAGGCCAGCTCTAGGTCCCCATTGTGGGACTGTACTGTTTCATGGCTCTGTAGGTTCTCTCCCAGCCTCCCCCCACACTCCCGTGATACCCTTAACTTCTCCATCTCATGCTGCAGCATATCCATCCTCCTCAAAGGTAACATTAATGGCAAATGTTTTCTATGGTCCTTATCTCTACTAAGGCAGACACACACATCTCTAAACTTCTGGTTGCATGAGTAGGAGCAGGAGGCTGCAGCCACAAGGTAGGTTTGCTGCCAAGTGGCTGCTGTCACGGAAGAGAACTGGATCAGAAGCAAAATCCCAAGGAAGGCGGAGAGGGATTGGGATAAGTCAGACTAACAACCTACTTCAAATACTGCAGGACAGCTGGCACCCTAAACCTACAAAGACCACTGCAGCCTTGCCAAGCCTTTCCACTGTGGTTAATCCTACCTCTGAAGATGACAAGCTGTGTCAGCCTACAGTTGTCTTGAGCCAGGTGTCGAAACCTGAAAGTCCTTCCAAACCAAACCCAAAACCCTGGCCTCAGGCCCCCTGCTCAGGGGCAGGATTTCTAGCTGCTGAGAAGCAAGACCTCACAGATCACAAAGGGAGTTTTAAAACACTGGAGTGAAGGCTGCATTAAATCTAGAATTAGGTCACACAGAGGAACCGAGTCAGTGCACTGGAGACAGGAAACTAGTCTGGTGTTTTGCACCCTACCGAGCAAAGATACCATCAACCAACAGGTGAAGGTGTCCTGCTACCATGTAAAAAGATGTGAATTTGAAACTCACCGCCTCTCCAGCTAAAACCTCCAGACACAAACCACCACATGTTGCCCTCAGCCTTCCCTGTTCTCCCAACGATCCAGAACAGACTCTTCAGAGGGCACGAGGTCAAGCAGGCCATTGCTAGATCTCACCTGACCTCACTGACCCAAATGTCTCCAAATGCCTCCAGCAAGTCAAGAGGGGCCAGACCTCAGAGACAGGTCTGGGAGCAGTGCTCTGCTCCCACGGACCCACATCTCATCAGAGCAATCTTTGCCCCCATCCAGAGTGGAACGTCCTAGGGTCAGCACCTGGCCTGACAGACTCAAACCAAGCCTATAGCACAGAGGTAATGCTCTGGCCGTGCAAATGCACAGGCACAACACACACCACAAAGTCTTACAACTCAGAGGGCTTCTCATAGACTGCCATAACCAATATTTCAACACCCGGGTGACCTTGGGTGACAAGTCCATGCATGGGGCCACTCTTCAAAGGGAGAGGATAGGGTTGTTTTTGCACATATGAGCCCGCTGATGAATGGCCCATTGCACCAACAGCAGCACCCCAGAGCCCCCTGAAACTGTGCTCCTGCTAGCCTCGAAGGACAAGTGCCACCACAGCTGTTTTGCACTGTGTGGACCACTCCTGAACTGCCAGAGACCACTACTGATCCAGGGCCAAGTTAAAGAGCTGTCCTAGTCTCTGATCATAGTCGAGATAGTCCAGTAGAGCTGACTGCAGAATTTAGAGTATCTGGAGCACCCTGGGAAGACACTGAATGACCCTGTTCAGCTGGGGAGCCACATCAACATCCTACAGACTCCCTAGAGCACTGTAACAACCAATGAACCAACACCAGAGGTCAGCTCTCGGTCTTCTATCTCCTTGAGCTAACCAGCCCTGAAGGCCCAGGATCAAACGCAAGCAGTCACCTAAGGTGGACACAGTGCCAGAGTGGCATTTGGCCAAGGGTAGCAGTGAGGAAGGTAGGACAGGGAAGGACTCCTGGGCATTAGGTCCAGTCCCTTGCCATGCACAAAGTCACGTTGTCTGCCCGATTTAAAAGTTTACTGAGCTCCAGTCTCAGAGTGGTGCTCGATGGGCCATTTTGCCCTGGGTTCCTGGAGTGGCTCATCTCCTTGGTGCTAAGTAAATGACGACCTCGACCTCAAAAAGAAGACAGTCACATTTGGATTAGAAAAAAACACAATGTCAACAGGGAAAGGGTGGATGCTCTATTCCATTCACCAGCTTCTGAGCCCCATCTGGACCATGACTAGCATCTGTTCGGTGCTGCTACCTCTCCTTCCCTTTCTGTCCCTTTGGGGCCAACATACGCATATGCCGCACGTTGCATTGATGCTAGCAAAGGCAGGCTGTGCTGTGGCTGCCCTGGGGAGATAATACTCCAGCCACAGTGAACACCGGGAGGTTGACAGCTTATTAGGAAAGGCAGGAGGGAGGTGAAGCTGGCGGGTGGACAGCTTGTTAGTCCATGCTACTTACTGACAGCTGCCTACATATTTAGTAGGAGTGATCATTGTTTTTTGTTAGGTGCACACATGAACTTTCTCACTTGCCGCCCATTTGTAGGCCTCCTGGCCAACGCTGGGAAGGCAATGTGGTCCCAACGACAGTCAGAATCTGCGCGGTTCACAACAGCCCTTGCACACACATGCAGGGGTGGGTTTCACACTCAGTGCTACCAGTACCTGAAAAACGATCGGGGCAGGGACTGCCGCTTTCTCAGGGAACTCCTGCCCACCCGGTGCCCATGAACGGGCAGGGTCTGACTCCTTTGAAACCGTACCTGTCTGCTGCAAAGAAAAGACAGCTGAAGGGAAGGAGCCTGCAGGGCTGTGAAGGGGAGCGGTGACCTGCATCCAACACGGCCCCATCTCCTTCCTTAGCCCCACCGGCAGCCGTTATGCTACACTGCACATGACAGCGGACTCCAGCCAAGAGCATGGCCCTAAGAGAAACAACCAAACTCAGGCCTCACAACACTATCTTTGAACGCAGGAGGCTGCTGAATCCCTTTGGTGCATCTGCATACGTCTCCCAATCCTCTTAAAGATACCAGGGATGCTACAGTCCCCCTTGTACCACCAGACCTCCATGATCTACCTTCTTCTGCCCAGTCACCCAGCTACAGATCCCACTGGCTGGCTCTGGACACTAGAGCAATGAAATTATGGAGGCATCAGCAGGCCAAGATATGTTCTGCTCAGATACAGGTGTCTGATGCCCCTAGAAGTGCCCTGGGCCCACTGTGGTTGATGCTGCAGGATCTCACCTTGGGCATAAGTCTATCTGTGCCACAATTGCTGCCTCACGTGGACCTCTCTGACACCCTGGGAGACTGGAAATGGTATTAGATGCCTACACTCAGGCAACTGAATCACTCCCATGTCATGTTCTGGACCACAGACGCTTGACCTTAGGCTCACACTTGACCTGTGTCCTCCAAGCCCCAGGGAATAGGATGGTGTAGAGTCCTGCTGCTAGAACAGTTTCACATCCAGTGCATCCTGGGGGCTGTGTTAAGCAGAATATCTGGAAGTCAGCCTCCCTGGACTCACAAAACAAATGCCCAAGACATCTTTATGGATGCATGGCCTACAATTCTTCATTGCATCCCTAGCTCTGCTGTACAGAGCTCAGGTTTTTAGACTTTTCCTTGGTACTTTCCAGTTCCCTGTCCTTTTTTCTGATACACTTATTTCACGCTGTTATTGCTACTGTCGCGTCATGTGTGCATCTCCTGCAGTTCTGCTCCTTGTAAAGTCCTTCCCACTGCTGCACTCATTTTGCTACCTACATCCCACAGCACTCTGCTAAAACCACCTGCAAGCTGCAAGTCCTCCAGGAGGAAGAGACTTGGTGACACCTCATGCCGCACAGCAGCCGGTGTGAAGACAACTCAGCACTGCAAAATAGCATCAACCCCGCACACACACTCTGAGCAGGAGACTCCCCCTCATCCTTGACATGCTGTTGCCCAATTGTCCTGGCAAGGGTGGGATGAGGGCAGGGAGGTAAGGGAAGAGGCAGTCTAGGTGTGCAAGGACAGCCTCAGGCAGGCCCAGAAGCTGCTCAGAGCCCTGAAAAGAGCAGACACTGCTTCATGGCTCAGCCCTCCCAACCTCGCAAGAAGCAGGATCAGAGAGAGCTGCTGCGGAAGAGCTTCACCAACAAGGCAGCTGGGGAACGTCTGAGGGAAAGGAAAACCGTGAACCGGGAGGTCAGTCTCTCCCATAGCTGGAAAGTTGCTCCTTTGTGAGTGGGCAAAGCCTGGCTGGCTGGAAGTGCCCCGATCTGTGGAGCTCCAGGGATGCTCTTGGGATCCGGGCAGGCCTGACACGCTGCCAGGGACACAAGCCAGGCATCTCAGGAGAGCAGCCGGGAGAGTCACCCCCTTTGCACAAACTGGGATAAGCCTTTGCCATGAGGAGGGAAGGAGCATCCAGCTGCGTGGCCATGTCTTAGAGACCCCTGGATCGTGGGAATGAATGACAACCCTCTGTACAGGTGTGGGGGACAGGACTGCAGCAGCCTCTCCCTACTCTCCATCACCCCCATAGCCATCTCAAGGACCTGCCAGGAGTTAGAGACAGCAGACAAGCTGCCAAGAGCCCTGGCGTGCTCAGGATGGGCTTCTGCCTCCCCCAGCAATCACACACTCTCAGATACCACACCAAAGCAAGCCCAGCACACCACATCATAAAGTCTCAGTTAAACATCAGGGCCTGAGGCATCCTGGTACTTAGAAGCAGCCAGCTACCTGGGGCATGGGGGCAGTCAAAATTTGTCTCTAAATGGCAAGAACCATTCATTGGCCTGGTCACCACAATCCTCCTCCCAGGACTCATCTCCTCACTTACTGAAGATAGGCTATATAGCACCACTGGGCTTATATATTGGGGACCTACCTACATTCACCCTCTTCTGCAACCTCATGATAGATGACAAGGGAGATAACCTAATCCTGCTGTGACAGCACACCACTTAAGTGCCAGGCAATGGGACAAGTAGAGGAGCATAAATCCACAAAAAAAGGATAGCAATAGATGGCAGAATCCACTAAAGCTGGCTCCGTGAGCTCAGTGCCTCACCTCTTGATAGTCTGGGTGATTGAGGTCTGTCGTTGTAGCACCGGTCTCCTCACCTCATTAGGCAGGGAGGGCACGCGGGTGTTGTCGGCAGGCATGCTCACACTTCGGAGAAAGGCCTGACGTCTTGTTGGCTGCAAAGAAAAGCAGGAGGGGAGTCAGTGTTCTCAGAGTGATGCTCTACAAGGCCAGTCAGGTTGTGAAACATTTAGTTACCAATTCAACAGCCGCCCAACACCCCAACCACAAGCTGGGTGCATGCAGTTGGGCAGCAAAATCAGGCTAACAAGGACTGTGTTCATGTTAGCCAGGAATGGCTCTACAGTACAGAACAGTTAGCATCAAGGACACAACATCTGCATGTTGCAGTAGGTCTCAGTTCAGACTGGGTCTAGGCCAGCCCATGGACTAAGGTCCATTTGTAGATGGGGTGTATTACATGAGCTCCTGCAACATATCCTCCTGGCTTTTTTTCTAGCCAGAAGAAACTCTGACCACACGCTACTAGACCACTTCATAAGTAACTCTGGATCTGCATTAAAAGCCTGAGAGAGCTGTAGGTGGCTCTGTGCTGTAGCTGCTGCCTGGTACAGGCTAAGAAAGCTGGGAAAGCCACATCAGCTTTGTTCATAACCTAATCGTCTGGACACACACGGATCTGAAAGCTCCTGGCATGTCTTGGCTGAATGTCACCTACCAAATACAACACAACTCACCAGACCGTTCTCAGCTCATACAACTGCCTCCCCAGGGCTGCTCTGGATTAATTTTTCATCACCTGGGCAGAGACACTATCCCCCATTTGTAAAATGCAGGATGAGCAGACTGTCCCTCTGGCAAGTGAAGCTGTGATCAACGTTTCTCTGGTCAGACACTGTCTCTGCCTGAAGACTATGTGCTACGCCAGCCCCTCTAGCCCAGAAACCTAGTAATTTCCACTAATCTTAACATTTTGATTATGTTTTATGTGAAAACAATGCATAGCTACTCAGGCCATAAGCCAAAGGAGCCCATTACGCACTCTTATCCTGCCAGCCTGTGCTGTGGACACCGGACCTCCAGAGAACATCACCTCCACCAGCTTCCATCATAAGTACAGTGTGTCTCCAGAAGGTGCCCAGTTGGACTTAGAGATTTCAGGTAAGAGAACATCCATCAAAGCCTTAAACAAGTGATTTGGAAGGTTTCAACCTGCACTGTTAAAACCCTGCATTCCACTTCTAATCCCTGCAGACTGAACCCTGATCACTTTCCTTCCAAGGGAAGACCAGGACCAAGATTTATCTGCCAGAAGCTGTCACATAACTGAAGTGCATTTTAGTTCCTGGATCAAAGAATGACAAAGAGGCCAGTCCTTGCTATTCCAAACACAACGTAAGTTCCCTCTTAAGACAAGCTTGCCCTGAACTCCCCTCCCGGGAAGCTGTATAACACTCCATTTCTCTGATGGCTAAACCGTTCTTTCACATAAGCAACCGAACCCGGGCACTGCACCCCACCCATGGAGCTGGGCAGTAAGAACACCCCGGCTCTGCCTTTGATGCAGGTGATCTCTGTTCCCACAGTAAGGAACAGCCAGCAATCATTCTACCCGGGTCTCACCCCTACTTGAGAGTTTTTGGCACCTTGTAGCAGAAATTCCTGTTATTCTTCCTATTCCCAGCACAAATACGGATGTTTTACTCTCATACTTTGCACAGTTCCTATTAACCTATCACCCCATCTCTACTTCACCACGTTTCAATGTTACTTACTTCTCATCCCACATGATTTTCTTATGTTCCTCATGCTGGTAACAGCTTTATGTTGCCAGTAACTGTTCTTTCTCTGCTGTTACTGACGAGAGCCTGTCATTATCTTGGCTATTCATAAGTCAGATTCATTCCCTGCTCATTTCAGCATGAGCTCCAGTACTTCCAGGCCCTCATGTTTGCCTAGGAGCCCTTCACTCCTCCGGTCCCCTTCAGAAATGCTTGTTTGAATACCTCACTCCCATATCCCCAGCCAGTACGCTTTTCACAGTCCCCACATCCAGTCAGCCACATCCACCGATCTGAGCACATCAGCCACCCACCCGCATCCCTCCCACATCCCCTTCGAGGGGGAGTTAATTACCGATCATAAATTTACCCGGTGGCTCTGCCCCTTCTGACGTGGCCTCGTGCCCTGCCATCACACGCTGCCTTTCTCTCAGCCAGGACTGCCGGCGACCACGGGCACGCTCTTGGCACAGTGGGGCTCTGCACACTCCCTCCGTGTCCCCGCAGACCCTCCCCTCCCTCCTGCCCCCAGCCTCTGTACCTGCACAGGCTGGGGCTCTTCTGGCACAGACACGGGCACCGGCACCGGGATGTCCAGTTTCAACCATGGTGGCTTCTTCCGCTGTAAACTGCTTGTGCTGTCACGTCGCACCTCCGACATCATCCCACGTTTGTCCTCAGGCCTAGGAGAGGGGAGAAATCACAGTCAGGAGCAGGCCAGGCTCATCCCTGACACAGCACGTGCCAGCAGGGCCGCGCACAGCGACCTCCTCCAGGCTGTGACTGACGGGGCCCCAGCCCCACTTTGGATGACTCCCCAAGCTCGTCATGAGGGTTCAGCCGTCCCAGCTTGTGTCCGTGCTGGTCAGCCAGGACCAGACCCTCGGAGGACACGGCGTGTTTCTAAGGCCCACAGGACCTCGAGCCAGGTGCCAGAGACCGCAGTCACAAGTTTGAAAGTCGCCTCCCATTAAGATTTTTTGCTGAGACTACTGTGAGATCCACATTCCTTAAGATCCAGTCATGAATGAAATCTTAATGAGATCTGGATCCAGTCCAACCAGCAAAGTAACTGCAGTACCAAAAGCCACTGACCTCCCTCTAAAACCAGCTTGTGACTCACACGGGCACCCTTGCCTACCCAAAGCCAAGCACCACGCTTTCCTAACTACTACTTAGCAAGTGGCCATTTCCCATTGCTGGTTCTAATCTCTTTTAAATGTAGTCATTTTCTAGAAACACGACATAGTGCACTGAGTAATACAAGTATAGCATGACCATTAGAGAACTGGCATTAATCCTGAACTAAGAGTGCTTTTCACACATAAATAAGAATGATACGGTATTTAACAAAAACCGCTGTGTTACCAAAACACCAAAGTAACCAGAGTGACTCACGGTCGTCTTGCCCACTCTCCTACACTGCAGCTTTCTCCTCCTGTTTAGGCTGCACGCAGTGGGACAGGGGCCACACGACTCTCCCAGGCTGGCAGAGCACCGACTTTACTGTGCACGCTCAGAGAAACAATTACGAAAAGTGGGGGGGGATCAGCCCAGAGACCTCCACAGGTGCCTTGCAACCTAAGTTATTCTACACGCCCGTATTTCCTCCTCTCCCAGCACATGTGCAATCGCAAGCTAGCAGTGGGAAGTACGTGCGCTGAATGGGACAAAAGATCCAATTCCCTCCTTGTGTTGTCCACAGATCTTACAGGGGACAAAAATCAGAGTCCCAGCCTCTCCCCCACCACGGCGGGCAGAGGGAGTAAGCATCCAGTTAACTTTGCAGGCACACAGGATTTGAAAGGGAACAGGAAAAAACTCTCTGTTTTCACTAAAACTCAGTGCTCTTACAATGTTAACCCAGTCTATTTCTTTTGGATGCAAAAGTAGTCTAAGACGCCAGACAGGAATTCTTCCTTCAGAGTGGCCGAGCCCAAGGACAGGACCAGAGGCAGCAGGACCTCCATCCTTCAGCACTCAACCGAACGAGGCCCTGAGCAGCCTGAATTAGCCCTGCCTTGCACAGCAGCTGAGCCAGACAACCTGTGGTGGTCCCTCCCAACCTAAATTAGGCGCTGGTTGTCCGAAACACGCGCTGCCTTTCATGGCATTTCCACCGTATTCCCACAGCAGCCCGTATTCTCACTGCAGCTGCTCTGGAAAGGGAGACGCACCAACGGTGAAGCTTTCCATTGCAAGAGAGAGACAGCGGCAAAGGGGGAAACAGGTCAACAAAAGGCAGCAGGGGGTGACCCGGATTGGGTTAAGAGAAGAGAATCTCATCTAAAAGGGAGCTGAAGACCAGCTGCTAGCTCAGTCACGCAAGCTGGGCTGGCTGCCAGGAGCACCGCGCTCAGCTGAGCCGGAAAGAGAGAAAGGGAGGACCCAGCCGTAGGTGGATGAAGGTTGGGTTTCAGCAAATACCACAGGCCCCCAGAAGTCTGGGAATTCACTGTCTAGCCTGTACAGAAATGCCCTTCGTCCACGCACCACGCTCCTCTGTGCACAGACGCGGTGCCACGCGTTAGCGGGACGCAATTCCTTACTTCCCTCCACCCCCCGCCCGCAGGGGTGACTAAATGCGTCTGTTCTGACTTCCCTTAAGGTAAGAACGGCGAGAGCGTCGGGGGACTCCCGCCTGCTCTGGGTGAGGGTAAATCCGCTATGAGACAGCTTTCAGTCTTGCGTACAAAAATGGGCAAACTTGTCTCCGTGGTGAGGTCAGAAAGCAAAGCAGATTTCTCACACCTGACAAACTCTCCTGGTGCAATGCAAAGAGCTCCAGCATTTACCCCATGAGGTCACGAACACCAGCTCTTTCTGAGATGCTCTAATCGGAGACCAGCCAAGAGGGACAGAGCCGCTGCTCTGGTGTAACCAAACACATCCCGTGTCAGACATGCCCCTCATAACCCAACTCAGGAGCCTCATTTCTGTGCCTTCAAGGGCAAATTCAGAGCTTCTGAACTAGCAACTCTCCATTTTCCAGCACCTCTTCAATGAGCAGACATCACCCAACTTCCTTCCTGTCCACCTACAGAGCTGCCTTTGTGAGCAGGTGCTTTGGGCGTAAAGCATACAAACGTGTAAGATTTGCAGCTTTATCAAACGGTGAGGCTGAGCCAGCACGGCAGCGAATGAATCACTCCTGTATTTCCCAAAAGCCGCTGCAACAAACGCTGCATTCCGTGAAAAGGTTTTCCCATTAAATCTGCTTTCAGTCCCCAGGGATGTCCACACACCCAGCACGCTAGCTTCACTGTCACACACACCTAGTAGAGCATGGGGACCTCCGGCGCTGCGCACACGTGCCACACGCAAAGGGGAGGACAGAGCATGCACGCACCTGGGGTCTAAGCCCATGGCCTTATGATTATCCCCAACGTCAACTCAGCTTCGCACTTTAGGCAAGACAAAGGTGTCAAGATGAGATTCACATGGCCAACAGAAGCCATGGACTCCTTTCTCCCAAACTCTGGGAGTTAAAGAGTTCTATAAAGCCTTCTTGAGAAGGCTTGGGATCCTTTTTCAATGTTTTTCTTTGCCTGAAGGGTTTGAACCTACGTGTCCTACCCTCCTTTGAGGGCACAGCCATCAGAAATCAGGATCTTCAAAAGCAGGCAATGCACAAATGCTCTACCAAAAAAACAAGGCCCAGTGTTACAGAAAGCAGTATCTTGCCTCAGAATGACGTTAAACAATGAGTAAAATGGGCCTTTGCCATCTAAATATACATTGTCTCCCCTGTTCTTGGATAAATAGCAAAGCATCAAGATGCATATATAATAATTGTGTAAGTGCACACAGTATTTGGAAACCAGGTGGGCTTCAAGCGTGACTGCAAAAGGAGTACTTAACTCAGGAGCAAATTCTTCCAGCAGTTTTGTCCATTTTTACTTACTAAAAACACCCATTTCCCCAGAAAAGAGTGCAGCAAAGACAGAGCTGTGTCAGCATTCCCAGCTACGCGTCTGCATTCAGAGTGGCCAAGAATCAGCCTTACAAACACGCGAGCTGAAACTGCGGCGCTTGCCCTTAGCGGGGCCCGATTCTCCGCACGCTGCGAGTACACGGCCACAGCAGAGGCCAGCCGGCTGCCTCTGACCCAGGGCACCAGAGAAACTGGGGTACGGACACAAGAGGCAGGTCTCCAGGAGGTTAACGGTGAGACTGAATGTGGATCCAGTCTATACACAGACGTACAGCTGCGCGTAGATGTATAGCTGTGCACATAGATGTACGGCTAGATGGTTGAGCATCGTCTTTGCAAGCCAGGTAACACCCCTTATTACACCTGGTCCTCACGCCAACTGCTGCGGTCACTAATTTCTGTCTCAGCACTGCACTAAAAGTACTTTCCGAGTTTCATGCCGACCTCTTATTATTTTTAGGGGTTAGCATTTCAGGGTACAGTGTCCATTTATTTCTTCAGGCCAGTGGGCTTTGTTTCAAAATTGACTGCATTGACACAGCTTTCATTTGAATGGTCACATATCCTCAAGTAATCCAAATTTCTCAGTACTGTCCTAACAAGTGTCTTCAAGGGGTCACCGGCAGCAGCAGGATAGGAACACGCACAGTGCAGCCACGCAAGGTCGGGCCAAGCATCCGTCTAAAGCCAGTATCTCATTTCCAGTAGAGGATGCCTGGCAATGGCTACAGAGCACAGGATCACTCAACTGTCGTATCTCCCAGGACAGAGTCATGGCGTGTGCTATGAATAACTCGGAGGCTTCTTGTGCCAGAGATGGCTTTGCATTTGATGATCCTCTGTACCCATCTCCACATCCATCCAATGATTTTTCTTCCAGAATTTATCCAACCTATTTTTGAATCCAAGCAAACTTTCAGTATTCATAACTGCACGTGACAAAGAGGTCCACAGCTGAACGTGTGCTGTCTGACAAGTCATCTTCTTCAGTTTGCCTTTAAACCTGCCATTTCCTCGGCTCACTTGATGCACCTTAGTTCTTGGGCTAAAAGTGTGAACAGCTTTTCCCTATCCCCCTTCTCCAAGCCCATCCTGGCTCTACAGGTCTCTTCCATGCACCTCCTACCATCCTCTCTTCCCATGAACACAGTGGGATCCACATCCAGCTGCTCAGTCCTTGGACAGGAGCTGTTCCAGACCTCTCACCTGCTTGTGGCTTGCAGAGTCTCCCGAAGTCCAGAAAATGTCCACCAACCCAGGCATCAGCTAAAATCTTCATCCTGGGTAGGTGGAAATGTTCACACTTTCAAGCTTTTGTGAACTGTCATTGGGGCTTGAAACTCAACTTTGGTAAACCGTCAGGATAGCAATTCCAACAAGCACCATCAAGAAAGGTCTCCACTATTACCAAAAACCACGTAAGAGCCCTTCGAGACGTGGGTAAGGAGTCTGTCTTAGGAGACTGGGAAGAGGTGGAAGGCCACAATACCTGCCTGGATTTCTCCTCCCAGCGCTGGCACAGTCCCAGTCCTGATGCCACCACACCTGCGCTGCTCAGCCAGCTCAGAAGCTGTTCCCTCAGCATCACAAAACTGAGGAATCCAGAAATACAAACTCTCCTCCAGCACACAGGCTGAATGCACAGCATCTGCAAATCTAGCTTCTTCTAACTGATAAGCTGCATGTGCAACTGTGGTAGCGGCACAAAAATTACTAACAAAGTTCATTTCAATTAAACAAAA